TCATTCTACCTTATTTAAAGAATATCTCTGAAAAAGCTGCTTGAATACTAAGGCGGTTTGAAATAGATATAGCACACAAGGCAGCACGCATTTCATACTATACGGAACAGAAGATTCAGAAGACAAAGGAAATAATATCAAGAGCATTTATAAAATAAATTGCATGAACTGCGATAAACACTATATCATTCAAGGTGGGAATCGTCTTCGAGTCAGAATTCAGGAACATATAATAACTGTGAAATCGCACGATATGCATTCTTGCATATCGATCAGTAAAGATATTTGGGGACACGGATTCGAGTTGAATAATGCAGGAATCTGAAACAGGAGAAACAGCAAAAATACCAGGAAATTTCTAGAAGCCTGGCACTAAAATGTACCAGTGATTAAAAAATATATTGGTATAGAACGGATTCACCAACCAATAAAGAAATAATTCATGTGACAAGAAACTTCAAATCAAAAGTCAGTTAGAATGATCCACAGAGACGTAAGTTAACAACCAGTCACGATGAAGGTTATGAAGATAATCAGCCAATAAAAAAGGAGCACCTTTCGCTACCAAAATAAGAAAATAGGTCTCTTACTTCACCTATCTAGGAAACATAGTTTCAACTACAAGTGCAGCTTATGTAGACGACAAAACCAGGATAAGAATAGGCAAGATAGCCATTTATCATTCTGAAATTTGCATCGAAATTCACTGAACTCAGCGTGAGGAACACGGTCCTGATTTTGCAACACCATTAAGTGGTCACTTCTAATATATAGGTCAGAAACGTGGTATCAGCGTCACGAAAAGCATTTCAAACAGTTTGTTACTGACCTTGCATCAACAACTCTCTTCACTACATATTGAAGGTAAAATGGCCGGAAAGAATTAGCAACGAGAAACTTTGAAAACAAAATAACCAAGAAACTCCTTCTGGACAAATATAGCGGATAAAAAAATAGAAGTAGACAAGGCATTCGCTAATGAGACCGACCAACGACATCGTACCTCATGCCACTGAATTGTAAAGGATGAATAAGGTGTTTGAGGGCGACATGTAGTAAATCACTTGAGAAGGAGAACAGAACAATCGTTTGACTAACTGAAGAGGACCGAAGAGAATAGAACAAAGTGTAGATGAGCTATTGAAAGCCTATGTTCTACTTGAATCCCAAGCGGACTGTAATATATTATAATATGACAATGGTTGTTAGGTGATTCAGTTGCATCTTTTATCAAGAATCCAAATAAGGTCATTTCATACAAATGTCAAGTCAGTTCTTCTATACGGATCAGAAACTTGGCGGGCGGGTCACAAAGAATATTTTCAACAGGCTATTGAAGATCTTTATCAACAACTGTCTTCGCTCTATACTGAAGATCAGATGGTCGGGCCGGAAAGAATCATCAACGAGAAACTATGGGAAGAAACACAATAAGAACCAATTGCTCAACAAATATGCAGGAGGAAGTGGAGATGGATTGCACACTGCTCGGTGAGGAGGCCACTGGTTGACATCGCGCGTCAGGCCACAGCTCGAGTGGAACCCGAAAGGGAAGCGACGAGTGAGACGTTCAAGGGTGACATGGAGGAGGTCATATGAAGAGGAGTTTAAAGAGTATAGACTAACATGGCTGCAGGTGAAAAGTACAGCAGAAGACAGAAGCAAGTAAAGACGTGCAGTTGAAGCCCTATGCTCCACTGGGAACAATAATAATACATAAACCTGCTTTGAAAATGTTATTTCAAAGGACAACGAAAGCTTAGCAATTAAGTCAACTTACCCAAAGAGGAGTTAACTATATTTATTATAATCATGGATTATTACGTACAGTCCATTTCACAATGAACTCTTCGCTGCATATTTTATCTACAAAACAAGGAAGGCTTCTCAGGTGAACCATTGGGTTTAGAAACACAAGCACACTAGAAATCTATTTAGTATGTTAGCGGAAGCAGATCATTTAGGAAATGTTCTATTTCTATGCCATACTTTATTCAATTGAAAAGATTCTGTTTCATTCTGCGTAAAGACAGGCATTTAGTGGTATTCACTTTTAAACAATCTATCTACACATTTCATTTTTGTACTTAACCTATTTTTTTAACGTTAGAAATACCATTCAGAAATTTACATTTACAGGAAGTCAGTAGAATAACAGACATCTAGTGTCAAAATTCTACTCTATTACTACAACATAAAACCAGTCTTCTGTCTAGTAATGAGGTATTATATATAGATATACCTGTCTGTAGAGGCCTTAGGCAGATTACTACCATCAATTTGATAATTTAATGTCTGCCTGTTATATTAACTATTCTTAGGATGTCAATCAAATGAAATAGTCAGCAGACATAGAAACCCACACACACACCTACTTACATTCATTCACTTGTACATCGACTAACCTAATTTTGATTACAGTCATTAAAATACAACAAAAAAAGATAAGAACTAATTCAATTTTAAAGTGCACCATAAATTTGATATAGCACGTAAAATGTTTCCATAATGAAAAAAACCCCCAGCACATTATTGATTGATTCATTGAATAAACACCTTGAAGTGATTTTAGTTTTTTACCTATGTATATATATAAATATCGAAGGTCAGTAAATACCATTGAAAACAGGCCGTAGATTGAATAGATTCACTAATGAATAGCACACATATTCATTTATATACATGAAAGGAAAGTATTTTTAATCAATATACATATTTGTGGTTTTTATTTTCTTTTAAAATTTGTAATCTATTTGTAATTTAAACAACCAATGCATGTGTTATAATCCAAGGAACATGAGAGCCATAAATCAATAAATACCTTGTGGAGCTATTTTTATAAAATTATAACGTCAGAATAGACACCTTACTGATGGAATGTATGCAGGAACGCCACTGAAATGGTGACACTTTTGCAGAGACTGTATATTTTGGTCTGACGTTATCACCCATTCAGAAATGCAAATGCCTTTTTTAGAGACAGAGCTTCCATGACTCAAATGACCTAAAGTGGATAACGCTTTGGAATACTATGAAACGATAGAAACATGGTTCAAGTATCAATGAGAATACACCATCACTCACTGAGAATGCAGGTGAATCCAAATGAAAGTTGAGGAGTAAGAAGAAATACAGGTGTTGGGTTTCACTCCTGATCATTGACGAAAAGAACTACAGGAACAATGTTCTTGTTGTTAGAAGCCTTCTGTACTTCTTTGCACTCATAACAAGTTGTTTGGAGGAACATTTCGCTAAAATAAGCTTTATCATTATTATTGTTATTCCCTTGAATTATTTGTGGAACATAGGGCTTTGACAGAAGGTCTCAGTTTCCTTTTCTTTAGTCCTCTTTAGCTGGCTACACGATTTCCTATAAGATTTCATCCCCTACCTCCTCGGTCTTCCTCATGTCACCTTCGGGGAAACGCTCAAATCCTCGATTCCTATTCAAGTTCAACTTGAACGATGGCCTCCGCGTGTTTGTGATTCTTGCCCATTTTCTAATATAAGGTGACTCCCGTTAAACTGAAGCACTAATTTATAACTCATTTAGTCCTTTTTTCTTGTACCACTTCATCTATCTCACTCCATGAAAACAGTGAGTACTTCTACCAGCCCTCAAAAACAATTTATGTGGATCCCAACCTTAGCATATTAAAGTTTGTTCCGAGTGATTTTTTCATCTCATTACTCCATTTTTCAATTTACTGACAAATTAACCTTGAAAAATTGAAGGTTTACTTTGACGGGTTTTTATGTGTTTTGCAAGCTAGGTGGTATTAGCAGACCACTAGCGATTAATTCTCCAAAAATAAACTGTCACACATCAAATCGAAACTTATACACAAAATAAGATGGGTGGATTTTTTGCAGGATATTGAATTTGTTAGTCCTACTTTTCAACGTTCACACGGCAAAAAATGATTGCATTTGACAATATAACCTTCGGTAGCACGATACCGTTTCTTTTTGTTCTCCAATATCCTTTTTTTAGATGGCTCTCTGATTTTTCATGAGCTTTCGTGTTCGCCTAAGATGATCTCCTGCATGTCACCCTAAGGCTGACGCCCAACCCTTTGTTTCCTAATCGGATTTCAATTGGGGGGCCTACCGAGTGATTTCACTCAACAATCCCCACTGAGTATTTCAAATCTAAATCTGATCCCTTCTGCATGATTTTTGGTCAATGTGTTTTTGGTTCGCCAGTTACTTAAACTTCTTTGCCTGTTTATCTGTGCACTATTTTGCTGGCCAGTCATAAGCTAGCAAAATATGGGAAGGCTGGGCGTAGGGATATTAAGCCTACCTCAGAAAATCAATCCTGTCGTTAAAAAAAACTTCTAAACACGCAGGAAAATGAATGCTAAATGCCGATTTGTTATGAGAAGCTATCCTTATTGAACTGTTTTCTTCATCCGCTTAAGACCTGATGGTGAAAATAATGCCCAGTTGTTTATTTTCAGAATACAACCTAATTGGATAACCTGAATCTCATATCTTTATGTTAGTCATAACAAAATGGGAGACAAAAATTAAAGAATGACAATTGTTCAAAGAAAGGTTTCAATAACTGTGGAGAAAATCAAGCCCACTTCTGAAGATCTCAGACTATAAATTTCGGTCACAATTTTCCGAAATTCCTTTGACCTGGAATCCACGGTATCTGTTGATATGTGGGCAACTAATGATTTGATGGTTGTCAGCAGTGGATTCCAGGAATCACATTTCGCCTTATTCGGTAGCCTAGTGAATGATCTCTTGAAGTTTCAAATCGAGAATACTGGGTTTACGTTTCACTGAGAAATACAATAATTCTCCGAGGATGCTGCTAGAGCTAGCTGTTAAGTTACAGAATTGAACAACACTTACGTCCTAGATTTTACTGTCCATCATAATTAACTGAAAATGAGTTTTCCCATAATAATAATTTAAATATATATCACAATGCTTCAATTTAATTTTTGTTTTAAATAAAACATGACTCTACAAATATGACTTACAGAGGTAATTTTATAAGTTGTTTCCAGGTTGTGTTATTCGCAATAAAGTTTATTATTTGTATGTGAATGTTAAATTTTTAAATGTACGAGATTTAATGAGAAGGGTTTGCTTTTTTGTTAGAACTATCCACAGAAAATATCTTTCAGTTATGTACCTAGATTATTTGAATAATTCTTTTCTCTATTCGAAATATCGCTTTCTTTTGGTTTTCTCATGAAACATCAAATTAGTCAGATATGTTATTTCAGCTTGATCATAAACGAGACTAACCAATCATTTTGGATTAACATTCTATTGGTCAGTCTTAGTTCATTGGAGAGCCAATAACAATTGTATATTTATTTCTCATAAAACTTAAATGTTTTATCACTTAGAGAGGATAGGGTATTCGATAAAGGGGCTGAAAACACTTTCAATGAGGCTAGTGGACATTTAACCCCAAGAAATGCTGAATGTACTACAGCAAAATGCATATTACTTTAGCTATGTTGACCTGATTAGCTCAATTGTAACGTCTCTGACTAGAGAACTGGGTGGTACAAGTTTGAATCTCTTGAAGCGGATATCACTTTCTTTAGAGAATGTAAATATGCCTTGCTAGTGGGTGTCTGTAAGCATGTAGCTTAGATACACTGCGTCTTACCATTTGCCTTCAGTTATCGCCTGGTGGCTACATTTCAAACCTGACTTACAGAATTAAATTAGATATAATTATCGGTCATTATAATCGGTTTAGAACTTGTTATCCAGTGCTATATCTCTTTATTACGTGTTTATAAACATGTTCGCTTCAGAAGTTCAGGGGACTTTAGAGTTCCGGTGAGATATGTCATAGGATCAAGGCAATCTAAAACAGCAAGAATAAATAAATTGAAAGGCGATGGCGTTTTATTAAGTAAATTCTAGCATGCAGCGTTCAAGTTTTTTCAACCTCATTCAACAGCTGGCTATACAAAAGTGCCACGTGGCTACCTGTTGTCACCGATAATATTCATGATTTTTGTGGAATGAATTTTGCTTCAGACAGTCAGTGGGCAGCGAAAAGTCAGGAATACGCCGTAGTGATAAGAAGAATGTGGAAGATCTGGATTTTGCTCGTGGATGACGTATGTTTTCTGTCACACAAGCTCTCTGACTTAAAGTCAAAAACCAACGCTTTGACAGAAGAAGCTGGCAGTTAAAAGAGAACTCTCGATGAAGAAAGAGCAGACGCAATAAGTGAAGATGATCGACCAACAACATCAACAGACAGTATCAGTCATTACTGACTGGAAAGATGCGGTAGTGGCTGCTTTTTTCAATTGTCTAGGAAGCATTATTTCAACCACAGGCGGGCGGAATGGATGAAGATGTCAAAATTGACCAGAATCGGAAAGAAAAGTTGTATTTTCATCAATCTGAAATCGGTTCGGAAATATTTTGCATTTAATGAGCATAAAGAACAAGATTCGGATTTTTAAAACCAGTGTGAAGTCAGGTTTTTTATATAGGTTAGAATCTCTTTGACAGTAACACAGAAAGTGTTTCCAACAGGTTGTGGATCTTTATCAAGGGCTGTCTTAGCTCTACACAGAATATTAAATGGCTGGCCAGAATGCCAGGAGCTATATTTCTGAAGCCTGAGAGAATTCTTATGTATCCTAAATCCTTAAAATAGTAGACCTAAACCTCACTAAGATTTTCACAAGTTTGTTTCTTCTCCCTTACAGCTTTGTCTAAGCACAATTATAGGGGCTAGAGTTATATATTTTATATTGTTTCAACTGATCCAACTGCGATTATCACAGAAAGACTTGTTTTTCTCCTATAAACAGGTATAATGGTGATTTTCGCTAGTCACGAAGGGTTATATCAGATTCTTGCACATTGCTTAATATGTTAGTTCATATAGTCAATAGCCGTCGTCTTTCAATACCACGACAGTAATTCGCTCAGGCCTTTTAGCTTTACAGACTCAATTGAACAAGTGTTTATATAAATGCCGAAATTGAATTTTCCTATAATTTAAAGTTTTAGTAGCAGGGAAATCATATTTTAGCCAAGTGGATTCGCTAGCTCCATGCGTTACTCTCCTGCTTTTTCCATGCCTATTACTACTAAACAAGTTACTACCTTTTAAAGGAAACCGACACACACACACTCTAATAAAGAGTTAGACTTTTATTCATCTTTCACCAAGAATCAGTAAAGATAGGTTCAATTAAATGTCTGTATAAAAGGGCCTAGAGCCTAATTTTAAAGCCAGATTTAAATAATGAAATCAAACAAATAAAAGAAATGTTAATTGTGAATAACTTCCTACCAAAATTTATTCAGAAATGTATGCAGGAAAGTAAAAAATAAGATAAGTAATGAAAAATGACGAAAATAATATAGAATTGAAAGGTTCTGTCAGCCTCTAAGGCCTTATGTTTGATTCTCAACGAAACTGGAATCAGAGTGGCATTTAAACCAACCAAACAACTCACTCAGTTTAAGAACCCGACGGATCCAATATAAGAAAAGTGATATAATTTACAAAATACCTTGTAATGACTGTGAGGAAAGTTACATAAATCAAACCAGAAGTTTGGTCTTAACTAGATTATTGGAACAAACAAAAATTTCAACTCGACCCAGAATGATTGTCTCTGCTGAGTTGAATAATCCAGAAAGAATTTCAGCCATTGCACAGCATTCACTTTCATGTTATCACAAAATAGGGTAGCTGGGAAAGGGTGAGCGTATTAAAAAGTAGTAAAGTTAGGTTGACAGAGAGGCGGTTAATCACTGATGCTATGTTTATCGATTCAACAACTCACACGTGGCATCGGAATAATGCAATATCTATACCGGAGATATGCAGAGTAGCTACAAACAACAAACGGAAGTTGGAGACACAAAAAGAGAGGAAACATGTATCAGACAAATTGTGAAGCCATATGGCCTAACTGATATGATAATGAACAATAATTTGTGCTCGAGACCTCATTCAGTTATTACTATTGTGTCACTCACTACTGTACGATATTTGAAATAAACTTATCCAATTAGGAATTGCATTCTACCACAATGCCCAAGTCCTATATTTACATTCAGCTACATGATGTCGCTTCTGAATGCCAACAGGTATGAAATTTACATCACCTGAATCATCCGAGACTATTGCTTGACTGAAATAGTTTTCAGTTACTCATTTTCAATTAATCGGTAGTCTATGCATCCATACAAACAGTTCAGTTACGTTATCCGAAAATACGTATCCACTATAGTTCAATAGATGTTCTACTTCATGCATTTATTCCCCTTGATAAATTTGAATAAAGCGAGAACAACGTTGATTTGTGCAGAATAACATGCTACCATCATTTATTTCGTTGGCTTCTCGTCAGCTGCTTACAGCCTAAATAAATTTTCAGGTTTAAGTACAGAAACGTTTTAACGTACTTGCAAATTTTACATGTTGACAGAAAGTTTCACAACTAGTAAACAGTGCTCAGAAAATTGCGCTTATATAGTCTTTACACAGGCAGTTCAAGTTAAAAAATAATAAATAAATGTATGTATATAATGGTAAGGGATGTGCGTTGGATGCATAGTGAGTAATAAGTTAGGTAACAATGTACTGAGTTGAACTCAAATCATAGAAACAAGAGACAAGAAAAATTACAGAATATAAAAGAGGGTGAGGTTAAAGACAAAGATTACGCAATCAGATGGGAGAAAAAAGACATCCAGTTACCAAGGCAAGGAAAGACTAATAACTGATTCTTTCTGAACACATAGATCTGGTTTCAAGCGTTTGATAGAAATTGCTTCGGCAAACTTGAGGAGAATGGAGCTCCTTTGTCTATTGATAATTTTGAAGGATTTCTCGATTTCCACCACATGACTCGTGTCGAGGAGATGTCTGGTAATAGCGCTGCTATAAGAGTTTGTTCCCTTGAGACGTAGGCTTTTCGGCACATGTTCAGAAAATCGGAGGTGTGCCCTTCTTTCTGTTCTCCCAATGTAACTGCTCCCGCAGATACACGTAAATTTGTATACACAGTTGGAGTTAACATGAGAAGGGTATCTATCGACTTTTGACTGCACCAAAGAGCATGTTGTTCGGTGGACGGGAACCAACTTAGCTGCAGGATAGGCTCTGGCTAGTGACGTCCTCAGTCTTCTGTTGACCATTTCTGCAATGTCTTCACCTTTAAAGTCTAGTTGAATTAAGACAGGCTTTTTTTCGACTGTGATTTGTTTGGTATTTGGGCCTTCACATCTTCCATATTTGTTAATGAATTTTTGAGTATAGCCGTTGTTTTTCAGCACCTTTTCGAGATTCGTGAATTCTTCCTCTAGTTTCTCTGAAGAGCATATTCTCCTCGCTCTGTAGTACAGAGTCTTGACTAGTGCTCGTTTATAGCTATTTGGACAAAAACTATTAAAATGTAAGTATTGTCCATTCCATGTGGGCTTTCGGTAGATTGACCTCTGGAGACTACCATCTTCTAGGCATTTTATGGCGACGTCAAGGAAATGGAACTGTCCATCATTTTCATGTTCTACTTCATGGACAATTCTAAGAAGACTGTTTTCATAAAAAGTTTAATCTAGAAATTAGCCAAATGAGACTAATGAATTAAAATTAGGCATTAAACTGACAAAATAATAAAATAGAAGTGACTTGTGAATAGCATTTTTCAGATGAAAAACTCACGCTTTGTTGGCTTCAAAAGCTGTCGAAAATTTTCTTCTTTAACAAAAATGTGTGTTTCACACATTTTTGTTCAGAGATAAGCAAAGAAAAATCACAGTTTCATCTCAAAATAACATTTGACAGCCAGGAAGTACTGAAGAGTGTCAAACGTGGATGAAATGTCTGTTTAGTTATCCTTAATTAACAGACATTCTGTATGTGAAATTACTTCATGATCCAAAGTGTAATCAGTCGAATCCTCACAAAGTAATGCTTGAAAAATTGTACTGTTTTCGATAATCTGATGAATAGTGAGCAGAGTATTGATGGACTATTTTTACATGTCTAACAAACGCTCTCGACCAAGATTTTTTCATCATGAACTGACATCGGTGAGTGGAATACTGGATAGCCTGAGAGTACTGAAAATTCGTTTATTCCTAGTTTGACACTCTTCATAAGTAAGTAGCCACTGTGGTGTGAAACTAGGGCAATCCGGTCACAAGGCGAGCTCGCAGACCATTAAGCCACTTGAACAAGATCCAGTGGCCAGTCCTTGAAT